TAAAGTATTGCATTGGTATATTTACCGGGCTGCCTTTCATGCTTCTTTGGTTGTGGCTGCAGCTTGGATTCAGGTTGAGTAGCTGAATGTGAATTCCCTTGCATTTGTGGGCTTATCCCTTAAAAAAGTACACAAGTGTGTGTTAGACCCAAAACTAAGTGTTTCAAGACTAGAAATGTTAAAAAAACAAGCATTCCAAGCACGGTTGTGTATTTATAATGCCAAACACAATAAAAATATAGAATTCTGTTGTTTGTTATAAAGGGAAAAATAAAATATACATACACTTACTTGGAGGTTGCATGGATAAGATATCTTGAAATTCCCTTGAATCACTCAATGTCTGACATGAAGCATTTTTATCTGTGTCTAATACAATAATATGTACACAAAATGTTTCAATACATTAATCAAGTCAATAATCACTTAAAATCAGTCATGTACAAAACATTAATTACTAAAATTAAAATATTTTGGTGAAAATACAAAAATAATAATTTAAATAAAAAAAGTTATCCCAAATCATTGTTACTGTTCTGTTTCTCATGTTTTTTTTCTATATTTTTCAATAAAAAAAATCTGGCATCCTTTTTACAGTACTCATTTGAATCTTTAATTATAGATTTATTTACTTAGCAGTCACATGACCACATGAAGGTTGTTTTTAACACGATATCAATTTTTAATTAGTGTGAGTTAGTTACAAACAAGTTTTGGGGTTGAAACAACAGTCAGAAAGCAGTCTACCGAATGTCCTTAATAGATGTAAATATCAGCCAAAAACATTGGTGCCTAATTTGTTTAATTATTTTAAGGGACATAATTTCCAGCTTTATTCAAAGTAATTCAGATATTTTAGTATAAAAACAAATGCCTCATCTCAGACGTGAATAGATTTATAAAACATGCAAGACAACAGAAAATCTTAGCTGGCTTTTGTCAAAGTATTTTGTACAGGTGTCTGTCAAAAATTAATGATTCACTGAGACAAATATGAACTGCCTTATTATATTCATTGTGTGACTACTGTATTATTTGAAAAGTAAAACAACGCCCTCTATGAAAAGCTATCATGTTGCAAGTTCTGCTTTGTATGCAAATCAACTTAAATAGTAAGTTGATGTCCAGTGGAGAGAGAAGTCAACAGTACAGTACTGCCTCCTGAAAATCTACATCTTCAAAACACTGCAATCTTTGTTTTTAAAGTGCATTTTTAAATTAGTAATATACAAGCTCTATCATTCTGTTCTAATAGCTGAAACAAATTTTTGTGAATTTCCATTTGTCGAATGAACTGTTTGTAAAATACAGAATACATATTTTTTAGTACAATTTTTTTTTTTAAATGTGGATGCAACATTTTAATTTTTATGTATTGTTTTTGATTTGATAACTTTGGGCTAAATAGATTTTCTATTAGCTTCAGATCTTGATCAAAGTTTGGCACCCAGTTCATAGGAGTGCTCATATTGATTTTCTGTAAAGATTTTATTGGTAGGTTTGTGTATCAGACTGTGCAACAACTCTCTCCATGAGTTGGTTTTGAAACCCAGCCTAGTATTCCCATGGGATTTGGGAGATACATTACCAGATATTATTACAAGATAAATGATTTGCTTCATTGAACACATACAACAATGCATATTCCCACTGAGATCAGTAACCTTTGAATGTGTATCACTAGTGATTCGTCAAGTAGAAACAGTCAAAATATTTTATCAGATTTTCTCAATTTTTGCATGATATTTTCATACAGGACATCCATCTGTCGTTCATATACTAAGGGAAGACTTTATACTGATGAATAAGGTGACCAAGTCTGATAGTGTTTGAAATAGAATTAGTAAATGGCTGCTAGGGGTTAATTTTGAGTTATATTTACAAGTGACGTAATTTTACCCCATTTTAAGTAGAAATGTAGGTAATGAGTGACGGTGATTCAGTAACATTTATAAAAAACAAAAACATTGTTATGCTTAATGTCATCCAATTATAAAATCATGAAATTTAAATGGATATATATGTTCTAGTAATGTTATAGCTTCACCATGTATGTATACAAAATCACTTACCAGTACTGGGCATATGTGCTTGTTGATTTCCAGTGTCTTGTTGTTGGTATGTACTTATGATTTCTAATAGAGGATTCCTACCAATTGCAACTACTAGATCACTGAGTAAGTTCAAATTTGTACTAGAAATGCATCCTTTCTCCTCTAAATACAGAAATAGGCTCAGAGCATTGTTCAATTTATGAAACTTCTCTTTAGGAATCTGCTTGCCCAGTAAAAGTTGTTTCATTGTAGTAAATTCATTCTCATCTATCTCTCGAGCTAACTGACTGAAGAGTATCCGTAAAGGGTCAATGGAAGTTGAATCCACATCTCCAATTTGGGATCCTCCTCCGGTTGCCATGGTAGCATCACTAAGCAACAGCCAACACTGACAAAGGACTGCAGTAATCAATTCATACAAGTAAAACCTGGGACAAAAAATAATAATTAGTAAATGAAATGTCTGTGTACAAGGTCATGTAATCAGTACAACTGTCATGTGATTGTCTGCTGTCAGATGCAATTGTATCTCATGAACCAAATAAACATACCAGTAAGTTGATTTTTATTTCCTAACAAATTTAGGACGGTGCATTTATTTTTCTAAATCGGGCCGATTAAAAAACAATTCTAAGTATTTTTTTTCATAAAGCCAAAAAAAAGTACCGGGTACAATCTTTGATGTGAAGACGTGTCATGTTTTCGTTTTCCGGTACATTTATTCTGAGGGTATGTTTATTAGTTTTTGAAGATTTGTTCGAGGGGGTGTTTATTTGGGACATACAAAATGTAAGAGTACTTAAGACAGACTTGTCAACCAATGTTGCAGACATAAAGCTGAACAGGGTAAGGAGCTAAAACTCTGTTACAATTCACAGAATATACCAGTATATATATATTCCATGGAAGTTCAATTCAACTTTATTAACCGTAATGTAACTATTACAACTTTGTCCATTGAGAACCTAGATTAAGGTAGTTTGCTACCACTAAAAAAAATATTCAGAAATCCTCAAAATTTAGCAAGAGTAATGTAACAATAATGTAATGTAATAAATTCATACAGTAATGTTCAAAATTCTGAAATAAAAATTAGGCAGAGGGTTTTCAACCCACTAATTCACATAGTTCATACCCAACATAGACTCCGGTTAGTCAAAATGATTCAGCCAACAACAGAGAGAGAAATCTAGGTCGGGGGAGGCCCCATGACTCAAGATTTTCCTTCACGTCATGAACCATGTGACCGAGGTAATGAGGCGGCGCCATATTGCCTTCCAAATCACTCTGGTTCTTTTTCTTCGCACTGAGGACTAAGCTAATGCTACGGAAAAGTGGGGTGGTCGGGAGGGACCCAGTGTCTATGGTGGGTATGAACTATGTGAATAGGCGGGTTGAAAACCCTCTGCCTAAATTCACTGGGTTTCAGAGCGAACTAAAATGATAAAAAGGGTGTCCCAGTTTGGGATAATACCCTCTACCTACGACCACCTAGTTGAGACCAGTAAAGAATCGGTGTCCTACCTTGCCAGTGCCATCCCCAGAAACAAAGCAAAATGCTGAACGGTGACGGGGTACGGTATGCACAAGAACGCTAGACCCAAATTCTTGGGTAACTAGCTTTCAAAAGAATAGACCGAAACAGTTCTGCATGAGGGCATAGGTCAAAAGCGAGACCTGGAAAGTTCCAAAGAGCGCTGACGAGAGAGATCTCTCTACAACAACATGCTGCCGACACTGTTCTATCGCATATGCGCAGGGATCTCTGAGGTCATCTGGGCTGGGTCAGTAACCGAAGCCTGACCCGCTACGACAGGACCCTCCCTAAAAGGACCCTCCTCAATAGATTGGGTGTCTATTAGGTAGAAGTGGTAAAGACATTTTGCGTTCTCCAGAAGCCTGCCCTCAGCACATGTTCAAGGGGGCACCTGGCGCAAGAGCTAATGAGTTAGCAAATGTACAGACCTCATGCGCTCGTACTTGGTGTCTCTGTAAATCCAGTGTTGAGGAAGCCAAATGGTTATAAACCTCGAACACGGTCGCAGTGATCCACCTGGCAATGGAAGTCGAGGAGGCTTGTCTGTCCTGCTTACTCTGGCCATAACACATAAACATGTGCTTGCTGCCATGCCTCGACTCCCTAGTACGGCTATCGGTGCAACTCAGAGCTCGAACCGGGCACCAAAGCAACTCCTCCTGATCCTCCGGGTTGACAATGTTGCCAGCCGGGGATTGACCATCGGGTGAGGATCGTGTCCTGGGATTTGATTCTTGGCGAGGAACCCGATTCGTGTCTTCAGCTTGACTTGATTGTCCATAAAGGTGGCACACCCGTCCGAGAAGGACAGGCAGGGCCCCTAGTTCAGCCCTACGCCGACCTGAGGCGAGGGCTAGTAGGAAGACTGTTTTCCACATCAAAACTTTGAGTGCTGCTGATCGGAGAGGCTCAAAGGGCGGTCTGCTTAGAGCGGACAACACAAACGACAAGGCACAATTGGGTGGTTCCCTCGTTCAGGGTCTAGGCCTCCTAACAGTCTCTGCCTGAGGTTGGCAATTGCCGACCCCCAGGGCAAGGCATACCACGCTTGGTCGAAAATGTCATTTGCCTCTCCAATTCTTGTAAGTGAGCCCAGTGCTGCAACAAAGTGTGCTGTACATACTGGATGGCTGCATAACACAGCCTGGGGGAACTACCCTGCGAACTCTACCCATCGTTCTGATGACCCGCATCAGTTCCCTGAGGGACACAGAGAGGACGCTGACTAGGCGTTCGGCTAGGTCGCTTAGGCAATGAGCCTGCAAAGACCATACCAAGCCCACCTCCATGTCGAACTCCAGGCCCAGGAGTTGGCCAAGGAGGCTAAGTGTTGGCCAAAGAGGGACTTTATTCGATTTACTAGGAAGCCCAACTGGTGTAGTAAATCCTGTGTTAGCCTTACTGTTCGACTAACCACCCTTTGTTTAGGTTGTGTAGCAACCAGTTGCCTAGGTATGGGCTGATGTGTACCCACGCCTGGCGCAGAAGTAGCACCACCTGTTTCCACACTCTGATGAATAAGTATGAAGCCATGCAAAACCCAAAGGGGAGCACCCTGTACTCGACTACTTGAACCAAATGCGTGAATCGATGGAGTCACTGACTCGCTGGGTGTATCGGTATGTGCGGGTAAGCATTGCTCAAAACTAGCAAGGATAACCAGTAGAAACAGAGCCCGGAGAGTAATACGGTGCTCAGTGTTTCCAGGAAGCACATACTGATTTAGTCTGCTGATGCCAGGGGGTGGAGATTGCAGCAAGATCATATAACCATGTATCACCACCTGGAGAGTCCAGGGATCCAGAGTACACCGGCGCAATCTGTGCGACAGATACATGTATATGCGTGTTCGGTGGTTCTACCTGGTCCCTTCCGGGTAGACGCGTCGCCACTCTTCCCTCCTCCGGAAGAGCCGGGATGCTTGCCTCCTGGCTATTTTTGGCCAGTGGGGGCCGACTTTGGTCGTTATGTTTTCTCAGCTTGGGGTCCTTTCTGCTTGCCCTTGGCATATGCCAAACTGGTTCGCGGGTCTCACCTGTACCAGCTGGTAGTGGAATCCCGAACGAGACTGCTCCTTCCTTCCTCAAAGGGAGGAACTGAAGGATCCGGCCAGGTGTTAGATTTGACTCCAGACTCTGCTGGCTCCAGTACAATTTAAATGAACAAATCCCATGTCCTGCTATGCTTGTCCCCTCCGAAATCGTAGGCCTGACCACCAGCCTACCCCCCCCCCCCATTGGCTACATGTGGACTAGGGAAGGACAGGCTTGGATACCAGGAGGAAGCATCCTGTATGCTAATATTGCTTGCTGGTGTGCTTCTTACGGCATGCCAAAACAAGGGGCAACTGCAGTGGAGGCAACCTGCTCCCCCTGCATTTGGTCTACCCGACCTGCAAGGGACGCAATTTGTCCTGGCAGGTCCTCAACCAAAGCCCGAAACTCATAGGCAAACCCAGCACGGTGTGAGGACGGATCCACAGAGGGACCCGCAACATGCCCCATCAGAGTAAAAACCTCAAGGAGCACAACCTCGTTGTTGTCGGCATGATCAGGCAAACCGCCGCCTGCAGAAACATACTGAGAGGAAGCTCTCCGATCAGCAGGGGGGGCCAAGAAATCTCTCACTCATTGCTGCTGCGAACCTGAGCGACGCGATCAGTCTCAGTAATTTGCACGCAGCCTTGGAACGCATCCCAGGCCTCGGAACCCCAGTTGTTACAAAAAATCTCTAGGCAAAAACCCCGAGCCCCCCACACAGTCGAAACACAAATAGGATTTGCTATGTGGGTTTCACGCTGGTAATTCCTGGTAGCCATACGAGGAGACGAAGAGCCTCTGGCGTTTACCCTTTCTTGCTATCCATTTTTTGAAAAAACATTGGTAAAAATGAACAAGACATGCATGAGAGGAACGAATTACAGCTGACACAAAGAGATCCAACGTACGTGGCCAAATTTGCGTCACCCGAGTTTTTTCTTTCTTGTAAGGCAATGCACACAAAAATTTTACCAGCCACAGCGTCGGCTGCCACGCAGGTGACAGCTAGTCAGACACACTCGGGCGGAG